GTATAGCATCATGTGTCCCCTTACTCAGTGAACACAATCAGGGGTCTAGTATAGCATCATGTGTCCCCTTACTCAGTGAACACAATCAGGGGTCTAGTATAGCATCATGTGTCCCCTTACTCAGTGAACACAATCAGGGGTCTAGTATAGCATCATGTGTCCCCTTACTCAGTGAACACAATCAGGGGTCTAGTATAGCATCATGTGTCCCCTTACTCAGTGAACACAATCAGGGGTCTAGTATAGCATCATGTGTCCCCTTACTCAGTGAACACAATCAGGGGTCTAGTATAGCATCATGTGTCCCCTTACTCAGTGAACACAATCAGGGGTCTAGTATAGCATCATGTGTCCCCTTACTCAGTGAACACAATCAGGGGTCTAGTATAGCATCATGTGTCCCCTTACTCAGTGAACACAATCAGGGGTCTAGTATAGCATCATGTGTCCCCTTACTCAGTGAACACAATCAGGGGTCTAGTATAGCATCATGTGTCCCCTTACTCAGTGAACACAATCAGGGGTCTAGTATAGCATCATGTGTCCCCTTACTCAGTGAACACAATCAGGGGTCTAGTATAGCATCATGTGTCCCCTTACTCAGTGAACACAATCAGGGGTCTAGTATAGCATCATGTGTCCCCTTACTCAGTGAACACAATCAGGGGTCTAGTATAGCATCATGTGTCCCCTTACTCAGTGAACACAATCAGGGGTCTAGTATAGCATCATGTGTCCCCTTACTCAGTGAACACAATCAGGGGTCTAGTATAGCATCATGTGTCCCCTTACTCAGTGAACACAATCAGGGGTCTAGTATAGCATCATGTGTCCCCTTACTCAGTGAACACAATCAGGGGTCTAGTATAGCATCATGTGTCCCCTTACTCAGTGAACACAATCAGGGGTCTAGTATAGCATCATGTGTCCCCTTACTCAGTGAACACAATCAGGGGTCTAGTATAGCATCATGTGTCCCCTTACTCAGTGAACACAATCAGGGGTCTAGTATAGCATCATGTGTCCCCTTACTCAGTGAACACAATCAGGGGTCTAGTATAGCATCATGTGTCCCCTTACTCAGTGAACACAATCAGGGGTCTAGTATAGCATCATGTGTCCCCTTACTCAGTGAACACAATCAGGGGTCTAGTATAGCATCATGTGTCCCCTTACTCAGTGAACACAATCAGGGGTCTAGTATAGCATCATGTGTCCCCTTACTCAGTGAACACAATCAGGGGTCTAGTATAGCATCATGTGTCCCCTTACTCAGTGAACACAATCAGGGGTCTAGTATAGCATCATGTGTCCCCTTACTCAGTGAACACAATCAGGGGTCTAGTATAGCATCATGTGTCCCCTTACTCAGTGAACACAATCAGGGGTCTAGTATAGCATCATGTGTCCCCTTACTCAGTGAACACAATCAGGGGTCTAGTATAGCATCATGTGTCCCCTTACTCAGTGAACACAATCAGGGGTCTAGTATAGCATCATGTGTCCCCTTACTCAGTGAACACAATCAGGGGTCTAGTATAGCATCATGTGTCCCCTTACTCAGTGAACACAATCAGGGGTCTAGTATAGCATCATGTGTCCCCTTACTCAGTGAACACAATCAGGGGTCTAGTATAGCATCATGTGTCCCCTTACTCAGTGAACACAATCAGGGGTCTAGTATAGCATCATGTGTCCCTTACTCAGTGAACATAATCAGGGTTCTAGTATAGCATCATGTGTCCCTTACTCAGTGAACACAATCAGGGGTCTAGTATAGCATCATGTGTCCTTTACTCAGTGAACACAATCAGGGGTCTAGTCTAGTATCATACTGCGACACTTCTTTAGTCGGAACCTGTTATATTCTACTGGTCGTCTGGCAGTAAATTTACAAGAGAGAAATATATCATTCGGTAATCATAGCTGCCAAGATGTCGACTTCCGAACAATGTCGATCTAGAATTGTTGCTAAATTACACAGTATTCAACAATATGTATAAATACATAGTAGATAATAAATAAACAAGTCCTTGCGAAGGAAAATATAGAATAAAATAATAAAAATGTAAGATCTTCTGCTTGGCCTTTCTGCCCCCAAGGGCTTCTTCAGGCGGACATATATATATATATATATAGGGTTCGAGCGGGGCGGTTACCATGCGATCACTTCGTTTCCATAGCGACATTTCAACACATTTCAACACAGTTCTGATTATTTCCTACCAAACTCCAATATGCATTGTTATACGAGCTGTTGCTTTTGGAGGCAGATATTATCTGTCATACATTACTCTCTCTCTCTCTCTCTCTCTCTCTCTCTCTCTTTCTCTCTCTTACTATTGTACATATATGCTTGTTATTTTCTGGGAAAGGGCTTAATATAAGCTTAATAACTTGTGCCCAATCCATTATCTTGGCAATAAAATATGTTTAAACTAAGGTTACAACGAACGTTAATTTGTATGTCAGCATGTACAGAGACATAGACAAAACAGACACATGCCAATGGTAGCAACTCGAAAACAAGCTGAAATCTTTAACAAATGCCACCCTCTCGACACACACACAGTTATATATATCATAAAGATGAGCCATGTATTGTTTGACTGTTAAAGCTGACGCTGGTATTAATGACTTGTACATTAGATATGTCCTGGTCCGTGTAGGTAACCACAAGATCGGAAGTCCCATTAGAGCTGTTATACTCGGTAAGTGTCAGTTGATGTGACGACGAGATTGGAAGCATTTGATACGGCGAAAGAGACGGTAGATGTGGCTCCCAGTAGCCTCATTACTGCGTATGTATAGTGTTACCCGAGGCGTTACGCGGTTACCTTCGATATTTCTAATCGAAAGGTTAATTAAACGACGCTATGTGATATTTTTCCCTCTGAAAAATGACCTCTTCCCGACAGTCGTAAGATGTGAGTGTGGTATATAAATAATGTAAATTATTAGACGATATTTACAAAAGAAAATAGGCGAAAACAGTTACTAAGATTCTGGGCATTGTAATACAAGTAGAACAGTTGCGTAACAAATAAAATGTCTCTAAGGCATTTCCATGATCAATTGTAACTAAACTAGTTTAAAGGTAAAATCAACACTTTATAAATTCTCGTTTGATATAAAATTATTCCAACTACATTAAATGGATTTTTTTCGTGTTTCCTCGCTTAAGATAAGATACCGAATCTTCACGGCGAAGGGCTCCCATTTGATGTATTCGTTCTTTGTTGCGCTATGATGAAATCAGTTATCGGTAAAGCCGTATTGTATACACCTTTGTAGTGTAATATCTTTAATGTATAATTTGAGTAGTCAATATTCTGTAATACTTTCCGATAGGCATTTAAATAGATCTCGTGAATTTCCAGACGTTCAGTTTGATAACAGATGATAACTTGACGGTCAATTAGTGTCACATGTATATAACAGTAACAGAATGTTATGCGTGGTTTTGCGCACACGTGTACAGTTTCGGACGTAAGCAGCCACTGTCTTCATTATTCCACACATAAGTAGGTGTGGAGGTGCGCATTAAAGCTTATCTATCCAATCGATAATTCGGTGTCCTGATTAATTTCTGAACGTCGTCTAGTCCAAGTGTCGTGTGACCGCTGTTGATGAAATCCCTAACATACGTCCACTTGTTCATTTTGTAGTGTGTTATACGGCCGTTGAGCTATGTAAAGCACCAAATCGCATATAAAACATTATTATCCACTATATAGAGAGAAACGCCGGAAGGAACTATCCTTCCTTCAATCTCTTTGATACTCGAAATGTCAGTATTGATCGGCAAGAAATATACGTGTATAGACTGGCACTGTGTCACCGCCTGCTAGCGCTTAGACGTAAGAACATCTATTGGAGACACACTTGTTCTGAGACGTAAGAACATCTATTGGAGACACACTAGTTCTGAGACGTAAGAACTGCTATTGGAGACACACTAGTTCTACGACGTAAGAACAACTATTGGAGACACACCAGCTCTAAGACGTAAGAACAGCTATTGGAGACACACTAGCTATGAGACGTAATAACAGCTATTGGAGACACACCAGCTCTGAGACGTAATAACATCTATTGGAGACATACTGGCTCTGAGACGAAATAACAGCTATTGGAGACACACAAGTTTTGAGACGTAATAACAGCTATAGGAGATACACAAGTTCTGAGACGTAATAACAGCTATTGGAGACACACCAGCTCTGAGACGTAATAACAGCTATTGGAGACATACCGGCTCTGAGACGTAATAACAGCTATTGGATACACACCAGCTCTGAGACGTAATAACAGCTATAGGAGATACACCAGCTCTGAGACGTAAGAACAGCTATTGGATACACACTAGTTCTGAGACGAAATAACAGCTATTGGAGACACACAAGTTTTGAGACGTAATAACAGCTATAGGAGATACACAAGTTCTGAGACGTAATAACAGCTATTGGAGACACACCAGCTCTGAGACGTAATAACAGCTATTGGAGACACACTAGCTCTGAGACGTAAGAACAGCTATTGGATACACACTAGTTCTGAGACGTAAGAACAGCTATTGGAGACACACTTGTGTATAAAAAGGTACGAGTGTCCCAAATTCTTAAACAGATCTTCATATCTACCAATTATAGTTTTCTTATAACTTTTCTTATCAACAGAGATGCGAGTATCTAGTGAACGCTCAATTTCATCACATCAGATTTGATTAACTGAGTTAGTTAGTTTGTTCTATTTGATAATGTTGAAAATGGGCCTTATAGAGATAATTAAGTGAAAGGTTCAAAGTCCTTCTAAACTTGTCATTGCTTTAACAGTTCATTTGAATGTAGATATTGTTTCTACTGTCAAAGCTATGAAGAGGTGACGGGAGTCAAGCCAAAGGGTAAAAACACAGGCAATGATGCTATTCTGTTGTCTGATTAAATAACAATAACTTCTAAAATGTTTTCCTTTTGTTTTATCCATAACCAAATATTTACCTGTGCCATTAGCAAGCTGCATATACACAAACAGACGATACCAGAGGACAACATTGAGAACCTGTTAAGAAACAGTTTGAAAGTCCATCCGAAATGTGTGGAACGTGATATATCGGACACCTACCAGTACCAAACGGTACCAAGTGCTTTAGACCTTGACCGACTAACACTGACAGGCAAATCCCGACAACAACATGTTAGACTGTCTTGTGACCTGAATGAAATATCAATTTAATAACATTCCTATACAAGGCGGAATACGATGAAAAAAAGGGGAGAAAACAACAAGAAACGCATTACCATCCACAGAAACATGGGCACGATGTTTTGTTCTTCCTCATCGGCCATCCTCCTCCTTTAATATAAAATGTTGAAGCATGAAAATCAAAACAATTGCCGACGAACGTCACAAAATGTCCGAAACAGTTTTGGATTTGCAATGCCACTCGAGGAAATACAATCTGGTGTTCACAGAGAAAACTGAAAGGCATTGGCAGAGAAAAGTATGCGTAAAGCTGTCATATCAGGATAGTAAAATCGAGTTTGGCAATGGACACAGAAACAGATATATAGTGGACAGATTTATCTGTTCCATTTGTGATGTGCAGAAGAACGATGAAGAAAGTTTTACACAATTTTTAAAAGACTTAAAAAACCTGATGACAAACCCACCACGAAGGTTGTGCGACATAAATTAATGACAGGCTGAGCTGTATGACGACAGTTACCTTAACGACAGGCTGTATGACAACGGTTACCTTAACGACAGGCTGTATGACGACGGTTACCTTAACTACAGTCTGTATGACGACGGTTACCTTAACGATAGTCTGTATGACGACGGTTATCTTAACGATAGTCTGTATGACGACGGTTACCTTAACGACAGGCTGTATGACGACGGTTACCTTAACGATAGTCTGTATGACGACGGTTACCTAAACGACAGGCTGTATGACGACGGTTACCTTGTCAATGAGAAACATCGACGACAACAGCTGGACATTCGGTAACTGTGCATAGGGACGCGAGGTAAGAGACAACCAGTTCCTTGCAATGAACTTTTCCTTGTATCAAACATTGTAGTCAAGGGTCGACAAATTTTAGAGAAACGAATTTATGACTGTCTTTGAAAAACAAAACAATTTTGGATAACTGAAAATGATGATATGGGTGAACTTGATGGTTATCGTAAATATATTTTCCCTCGCAGAAGATGCAGAGGAGTTGGAAATTGGTATTTTTTACAAGAAATATTTTAAGAACAGGTTATCTGTAATTACAAAATACTCACGCATAATATCGATGGAATTACGCCTGACTGATAAAAATATTTACATTGCTTTTTGTTGTTAGTGTTTTAAAGGATGATGAGAAAGGAAAGCTTTATTTATTTCATAGATTGCATGACTCCTCCACTTCCTAAAGGACGTTTGGTAAAGTATTTTATCATGTGATATTGAAGTGAGAACGGGCATAAGGGCTGACAATATTATTCACGACAAAAAAGATCATGATACAACTATATATATATATATATATACGGTGTCGTCTCACCTAGCATACATTTCGTATTTTCCTATATACCGGTAAGGTGTTGAGTGTATGCTAGGTGAGAATTTGTGTCAGTTAGAGAACAATAGGGTTTGATTACAGGTAAACTATAGTCTATACTTTAAAAAATCTGACCTGAGATACATGAGAATCAAATAACTTAAGTTGCAAATCAACAGGNCATATTGTTGTCTACGTTTTCTTTTTTCAAAGATGACGACTTTCGTTTTCTGTACATTAATAGTTAACTTCCAACTTCTACAATAGTTTTGAAACACACTCAGGGCATGTTGTAACCCCTCCGGTGTCTCAGCCATTAACACAGTATCATCCGCATACAGTATTACAAATAGTTTAAGATACATTCCAATGTTAATTTGACAAAGTCTTTCTACATCATTAAGATATTCAACATCATTTTGGTTTAAAAAATCGTCAAGATCATTCAGGTATAGGGAAAACAAAAAAGGGGATACATTTTCCCCCTGTTTTAATCCGACATTGCAAACGAAAAATTCCGAAATTTCATTTCCGATTTTAACACATGACTTGGTGTTAAAATATAAGTTTCGGATAACCTTAAATACTTTTCCATTTATGTTACTGTTTAACATCTTTTGCCATAATCCCGCTCGCCAAACTGTGTCGAACGCTCTTCGAAAATCAACAAATGTACAGTACAGCCTTTTTCCCTTGTGCAAAATATGTGTTTATTAAAGAGTGTAACATAAAATATTTTCAGTCTTTTAGTTAATCTATTATTGATGATATGATTAAACACTTTCCCCAAGCAAGACACTAGAGTTATAGCTCCATAATTGTCCGGGTCGCAAGTTTCTCCTTTATTTATATAAATAGGCTTAATTATTCCAACTGTCCAAGAGTCTGGGACTAATCCGGTGTTTAGTATACTATTAAATAACATTGTATATAACGGCATAAAGTTAGTTAATGTACGCTTGATATGCTCATTTAAAAAGTCATCATTTCCACATGCTTTTTTATGTTTTAAATTATTTACCGCATGTTTAATCTCTTCCTCTGAAATATCTTCGTCTAGCATTTGGTAAAAAGTATTATTTTCTTGTTCGGGAATATATATGTTATCATCATCCCGGTTATCATTTGAATTGTTCAGCTTTTTGAAAAACTCAAAAAGTTCATTTATTGGTATATGTCAGCTTTATTAGATTTAGCTTTACCAGATAATTTATTTAATAAATTCCATAATGTTTTGGGATTACTATTTGCAGATTCCCTGATATCCCTTTCCATTTGATGCTGATATTCCTTAAAACACCTATTCATTTCTTTTCTATATTATTTACTCTTCTTTCTCTTTTTTGTTTATTTGATTTTTCACTAATTTATACTTACTCTTGGCCAAGTGAAACTCATTTCTCAGTTTTCTACATTTCCCAGTATACCATGGTTTATTAGTTGTACATTTATTACTCTTGCACATGTCTGGATATCTTTTACCGAACGCCTTATTAGCTGACCTTGTGAAGAGGTTACCTATTGACTTACAATGTCGTTAAGTTCGGTTTTATTAATTTGGTCCACGGGTGTATCATGGAGTTGTTTTAATGTATCACGAATTTTGTTTACACCATCTTCATTATTGGTTTGTATTACGTCTACAAATATATTAATTTTCTCACAGTTCTATTTGACATAAGACATGCTATTAGAGCTGGGGTTACCGTGGCTGTTATTTTCATTATTAATTCCATGTAAGACGAGTTCAATACTACAATGGACATCTGATATTAATGGGTTGAAATCAAAAATCATTGCAAGTAACCTTACCAACATTTTTATCATCACCTACTCTTCCATTTGCTATATAAAAATTGTTTAATTTACAAAAATCAAGGAGCTTGTATCCAAAATTATTGATCTTAGATTTACATTCACTAAACCTTTGTAGTGGTACATTATTCAACCTTAATGATTCAAAATCATACATAAACGAATAAAGATCATCATTTCTATTGATTTTAAATATTTCTGCAAGACTATTGTCAGGTTCCACAAAATCTTGCCGTAGCTCTGTTTTAGCATTAAAATTGCCTATTAGTGAAACTTTGGTATCATCTTGACAAAAAAGTAACATTTCTTTTTCAATATCAGAACATGCGTCTGGAGAAGAGTAGAGTTTTCTGGGGGTATATATACACACCCCATAAGTACATCATGACTATCTAAATCTCGAGTTCTGGGGGTATATATACACACCCCATAGGTACATCATGACTATCTAAATCTCGAGTTTTCTGGGGGTATATATACACCCCCCATCAGTACATCATGACTATCTAAATCTCGAGTTTTCTGGGGGTATATATACACACCCCATAAGTACATCATGACTATCTAAATCTCGAGTTTTCTGGGGGTATATATACACACCCCATAAGTACATCATGACTATCTAAATCTCGAGTTTTCTGGGGGTATATATACACACCCCATAAGTACATCATGACTATCTAAATCTCGAGTTTTCTGGGGGTTTATATACACACCCCATAAGTACATCATGACTATCTAAATCTCGAGTTTTCTGGGGGTTTATATACACACCCCATAAGTACATCATGACTATCTAAATCTCGAGTTTTCTGGGGGTTTATATACACACCCCATAAGTACATCATGACTATCTAAATCTCGAGTTTTCTGGGGGTTTATATACACACCCCATAAGTACATCATGACTATCTAAATCTCGAGTTTTCTGGGGGTTTATATACACACCCCATAAGTACATCATGACTATCTAAATCTCGAGTTTTCTGGGGGTTTATATACACACCCCATAAGTACATCATGACTATCTAAATCTCGAGTTTTCTGGGGGTTTATATACACACCCCATAAGTACATCATGACTATCTAAATCTCGAGTTTTCTGGGGGTTTATATACACACCCCATAAGTACATCATGACTATCTAAATCTCGAGTTTTCTGGGGGTTTATATACACACCCCATAAGTACATCATGACTATCTAAATCTCGAGTTTTCTGGGGGTTTATATACACACCCCATAAGTACATCATGACTATCTAAATCTCGAGTTTTCTGGGGGTTTATATACACACCCCATAAGTACATCATGACTATCTAAATCTCGAGTTTTCTGGGGGTTTATATACACACCCCATAAGTACATCATGACTATCTAAATCTCGAGTTTTCTGGGGGTTTATATACACACCCCATAAGTACATCATGACTATCTAAATCTCGAGTTTTCTGGGGGTTTATATACACACCCCATAAGTACATCATGACTATCTAAATCTCGAGTTTTCTGGGGGTATATATACACACCCCATAAGTACATCATGACTATCTAAATCTCGAGTTTTCTGGGGGTATATATACACACCCCATAAGTACATCATGACTATCTAAATCTCGAGTTTTCTGGGGGTATATATACACACCCCATAGGTACATCATGATCAAGTCGTAATACATGTTTCTGTATAATTACCCATTGTACCCACTCCGAATCACTTTTGCAAAATTTTAAGTGGTGATGTAATGTTTTTTTTTTTTTTATAAATAATGACAATCCCACCCGATTTTATTTTCATATTTTTTCTATGTTTCGCTTCATACATGTACCCATCAGGTAGGTCTAATATATCAAATTCATTCGTTTTACTTTCAACGCATATCAAGATATCATTGGTCTGTATTAATTGTTCGAATTCTGGTAGAATTAGTTTGGATTTAATTCCACATACATTAATGTACGAAAGCTTTAGTTCCGGTG